CACCCCCAAAAAAAAAAAAAAAAAAAAAGCTTATGTGTCTTGGTGGCGTCGTTCTGTACCATTGTACTCCTCATAATCTTTGGACTTAAAATCAAGAGAACCATCTGACATCCAAAAACATCATGTTTTGAAACCTAAAAGCCTCTGATCATTATCTGTGCAAGATCCCAAAAAAAGACACCGCTTAGCTGTGTGTGTGTACAAACTCCGTAACTTTAAAGGCCAAATACCCGATTCCAAAACACAAAAGAAAGAGCTTCTTAGTGCATAGCAGAGATCTGACCACATAGCTTCCAGGCACACAGAGTTGAATATGTTCTACTGCCAATACTTGCAACTCAGGAGCATTTTCTTTCAAGTAAGCTGAGTCAGGAGGATGTGCAAAGGTGGAGCTTCCACACATAATTCCTGACTGCTTCCAGGATTAGTCAGATTTCTAGAAAAGCAAAAGCCTGGGAAAACAGCAAGCCATCCCTTGAAACCATATAGAAGAAGAAAGGGTATGGAGAGATGACAGTTCATGGACCAGGCAAGCCTCATGGCAGCGATACACTGGCCCCATCTTCCCCAGGCAGCACTTCATCTCTACAAAGACATTGGACAGGGTGTTCTATTTCCCTGCTTTGGAAGGAAGAAAAAGTTAATAGATTTCTTTGCCTCAAAGCAATCTTCCATAAAAAGTAATTGTTCCCTCCACATCAGTATTTTACCAGAATAAAGACTTAATTGTAAAATAAAAGAAAATGAATCCTGTTCTCCTGATTGCCCAGTATGCATGTGGTCCCAGCCCTTTTTCTTCCCCTAATGACCCTCAACTGGGTCCTACAAGGTGGTTTTTCTAAAAAGGAACTTTATGCTTTCAGGATGCTTTTTCAAAAACAGGCTCTCCTCTAGTGCCAATGTTCTTCCTACCTGAAAATGATGCTGTCAGTTTTTGTCATCTGTACATCATCTGAAGTGGACTTTTTTCTTTTTTTTTTTATAGAATTTACCCTGACCTTGCTTCCTCCCTCCCCACATGATGTAACATTCAAGGCAGCAGGCTAGCTGCTGTAGCCATAGAACAGATAGAAACTAACAGTTGCACAGAAGAACTAAACTCACAACTGTGTTAAAAAATACTAAGATAGCCCTCTACATCCAGCTCTGTTAGACTGCAAGGGACATATTTTTACTAGTCTGCTAGATGTCGTTAAAGTGCTGCCTTTGTTTCCACAAAGCAAAAGTCATTAATCAAAGAATAGGTTAGTTAACACAATTTTCAGATTCAGAATTGTATACAAATCGATTTTGAGATACATTATTATTAAAATGAGGAGTGGAAACTACCTCCTTCTAGTTTTACTTGAAATTTTAATGTTTCCATTAAAACTGTTTATTTCATTTTAAAAACTGGAAACTTAGAGCCACTTGTGTCATTCCCTCACATTGTACTCGTGATACTGAAGAAGTTATAAATCCTAGAATACCGCGTTTCCACACATCATTTTGCCCATCTCAAACCAGTGAAAGGATGAGAAAGAAAGTGATTACAATTAAACACCACTTAGATTTGGGGGGAAAATTATTTGTATTAAGAAATCAATGTGTTTATACAGATACCTGGGGATTTAGAGTCAAACACAGAGGTAAGCCAGTCTGTTCCAACTCTGATATTCAGAGACTCTCTGAAGAATACTAAACAAAACCAAACATGTTATTTTAGGTATACTTCCTAACTACTGCCGTTTATAAGTAACAACTCGAAATTCTGTCCTGGCTTCCATATCTTTTTAGGAACCTGTTCTAAATTTATTTGTCCTGTGTCAATTATGTGAATAAAATAAGAGCTGAGAGACTCTCCCTAAGAAAATGTTTTTGCTAGGAACCCTGTCCTGCCACTTTCTGAGCTTCTTGAAAATGAAAATCTCTGTGTCTTCCAGATGACAGCCACCTTTTCGGTGAAACCAAAATAACTCTCTCAGCTAGAGAGCTGTCAGTAAGAATTCTGATAGATATCAGAGTTGGCATGCAGGAGGAAGGCAAGAGAAACGGTTCCATGGTAGGGGGTTTGGTGGGAGCCCCTGACTAGGCAGGAGGGAAAACAATGCACCCCTAGACACTAGACCAAGCACGAGGAAACCAATGGGCATTTCCGGAAATGACAGATAATCCTGGGGAAGAAGGGAGACATTAGGTCCTGCAGGATTTTTAAAGGACTACGTCATATGCGTCAAGCTGGAAGGTGTCCGTTTGTTAAAGAAATCAAATACACTTCCATGCATAGGATTTTCTCTCCCTCTAGTGGTGGGGTGGGATATGCTATTACTACATGATACTACCTCATAAACAAAGATGAGTTTCCATTATAGCACATTTTGCCCATAAATAAGGATTTTCATGAGGTGTGCTGCTCTCTCTTACAGTGATTTCGAAACACCCTCAAACCCTTCATGCTAGGGAGTGAATTGCCTCCTAAGTAGGCTGGTTATCAGTGAGAAGGTAGCAAGGATCTCCTTGTCCTTTTGGCTAAAGAATGCCCATGCTCACTTCCAAGATACAGGATGCTCCTCTCCCCTGTAGTCCCGATCAACAGGTTATTGATCAATGACTGCAAATCTATCAGTGTAAAATATATAAAGTATGCAGCTTTCCCCCCTGCTCCATACCATACGCAGTTAGGCATCAATGATGCTTATTTGACTTCTCCTCTTGTATGTCTCCAAGGCAACCAAAGTCATATTTTCCTGCAAACCAGTTTCTTTTCTAGTTTCCTTATCTCAGTGAATAACTTCATCAGCTATTCAGTTGTACAAGCCAGAAATTCAGGAGTTACTTGACCCCCACCTGGTCTTCCACCATCATATCCAATCCATCACCAAGTCCTTCAATCTCACCTCTTTAATCTATCTCACCTTAATCTATCTCACGGAGGTCGATTTCTCTCTGCCTCAACCACCACACTATTTCATCATCTCCTTCCCACACAACTAGTACTCCAAAGGGCATCCACTCCATCCCTTGTCAAATGCATTCTTCACACTGCGCTGCTTCATTCAACAAATATTTTTGAGGGGCCTACTCTGTATTCTGGTGGTACTGTGTTGAATAAGGCAGACCAATTCCTCATTCTCAAGGAGCTAGTGGAGACAAGATATAGACATTAGATAGTCATAAGCACTATGTGGAGTTGTAAAATAGGGTGATCTAATAGAGAATGGTTGAATGGCTATTCTAAATTGTGTGTTCAAATGCAAGAAATCAGTGGGAGTTTCAAGAGGGGATGAGTTTTGAAGCAGGAAAACAGAAGTCCACTGGGATGATGGTAGCTGCTATCAAGACTTCCTCGTAGGTAAGGAAAGTGTTTCAAATACTGGCCAGGATCAAAAAGAATCAGTTAAAATGTTCCTGAAGTTTCAATCTAGGTCTGTTTGTCTCCAAGTACCTCTGCTGAAATATAGTCCTTACTATCTATGTGAAAGCATCCCATTTTCGTTAACTTTTCTGTACGTCTCGTCTACCAGTAACGTAAGCTCCATGAGCAGAACGGCCATAACTGCCTTGCTCATTGCTGAATCCCCAGTGCCTAAGAACTGTGTCTGGTATATAGTTGGCATGCAAATAGGTATTTGTTGCATTAATGCACAAATTGGTGTGTGAAGTGGAAAATGAAACAAAAAATTTACTGAGTGGGTTTGGGGTTCACGAAGCCTTCGCGGAGATGTCAAGGTCATTTACTTCAGCTCGAAAGGTTAACTGGGCTATAAAATCCTGGGCAGGTTTCTCCGCTTGGGATCTCTGGCACCACCTGCTCTCTCTCAAACTCACACACGTGCTCACGGCTACAATGCTCTCCAGCTCCCCGCTAGGAGGAGTCACACCTTCCGACACATAATCCCTCCCACCCTCTCCCCTATTTCTCATTCCCTCCTCTCCCCTCCCCGCCCGGTTTCAGAAGCCTTCGAGTCGCAGTGCCCCCTGGGAACAGTAGTCTTCCGGTCCGAGCCTAGAGCGGTTTATCCCTTTCCAGAACTACGCTTCCCAGAGAGCCTTGCGGCAGAGGGAGGCTGTATCACCTGACCAGGACTCTGGAGAGGCAATGGCGACGACCATCCTGCGCTGGTGCTGCCCTGGAAGGCGTTGGGTTTTCGCCGGGATTGGCGGCGGTTCTCGCCACGGAAGAGGGGTTCCAACTGGGTCCACGTCCAGCGGGAAGAGGGGACAGCGCTCAGTGGCTCAGCAGCCCCTCATCACGGCCCAGAAACCGAGGAAAGGGTATATTATTTCGTACCATTACTCCCCGCTTAAGCGTGAGGTGGAATTGCGGGACTGGAGAGATAATGACCACTACAGCCCAGCCTTCAATCTAGACGTTTTGGTGGGCGGGAGGTGCTGGGCTATAAGTTGCAGCGCTGAAACCTAAATGAAAGCACGAAACTGGCCCTCTCTCAGCCCCGTCCCCACACGCAAACCACTGTCTTCAGGTAGACAGGCATATTTGGGTAATTCGCGAGTGTAAAATAGCACGTGTTTTCCTGACTCGAAAGCTGCACAGACAGAAGAGTGGATTCAGTCACCTTAACTAATAGCACCAGTAGCGGGGTCGGTGACAGTAGAAGATGAATCTTATTTACCTGACATTTATTTAGAGCTATTACGAGTCAGCAGTGTTGTAAATTATTAGTCAGAAAACACCACCTATCTGTGGAGGCGTTTCATTTTGAACATGTGTGTCTAGACCTAGGAGAATGCAGCCAATGACAAGAGATCTTCCCTCTGGTTATGTAGAAAGTGTTGTTTATTTTGCTTAATATCCACTGAACAGCTGTTTATATTTCACTATATGAGACCTAAATAGTTTATTTTTAAGTACAGAAACATAAGGCATGTGTCTAATATTCAGTTTTTCTTTTGAGATAGTTAGGTTGCCGTTATTTTTGCTTTTCTGTTGGAGGAACAAAGGGAAAATGTCCAGAAACACTGTTTCTATTCCTTTCATAAATTAGGTTGTCTCACTGTGAATGGAAAGTATTTTTTTCTCTCATGTAATGAAACTTCAAAAATACATTGAATAAGGTTTTAGTGAATGCAAATTTCTGATAAGTTCTTCATTTAATTCCTCTCAATTACAGGTTGTGCTTCCCAACTTTAAAAAGAAGGAATTCATTAGTACTACAGATGTAGAACTTCATGTGTTGAAATGACTGAAACAAAACCAAATGCATGTAAACAAAATACATGCAAACAAAAATTTCGATAATATAGAAAATTGCTTGGGGGAAGAGCAGGATAGGAACAGGCAGACTATGGAGAGAGTAGGTGTACACCAGGTGATCTGCAGATTGCCCAGGATACATGGGTTTAATAATAACCCATGGAATAAGCACACTTATAAGAACCTGGAGAGACCTCTGTATGGAATGTTCATACAGACCCAGTAGAGTAGGAGTGGCCAGATAAGAGATTATTGTAGCATTTAGGTTGCATTATTGCAGCTTCTTAGGTTTGGTAGCAGTCAAGTATAAAACAAGCAAAGGAACCTGACACTAGATCTTTGGAATTTAAAGTGATCTGGGGAACCAGGAAAAAAAAAAAGCCACTTGCAATGGTTCAATGTTTCCCTTTGCACAAAATTCCCAGGAAGGGTGTCATTTAGTGGTGATCTATTATATCTTTGTCACTCTGGTTACTTTACTTGCAAACCATTGTTAGAAAATGAATTCCAAACATGACTGAGAATTTCCCTTCCTTTTTAATAATGAGATGTGCAACTATTTACCATTATTTCTCTAGTAAAATCCAGATATTTATGTTAATTCTAAAAACGTTCACAAGATCAGCTTTCTTCATTTGCTGACCGACTAATTGACAGAGCACAGTTAATTTAGAAAATGCTGCTTTTCATTAGTCAGCCAAGCAGTCACCACCTGATACCCATTTCTAAATTGTTTTCAGATGCCAAATTGTTCTTTTCTGTTACCTTCTTGTTTGCACAGTGAACTCTCCTTATGCCATGTTGTAAATGAATTTTGCTTTGCCGGCCTTGTAGGTGTTCATTTTGCATTGCTTTTGGTTTAGTCACCAATACAGTATGGCACATTTTTTAAAGTAGGATATAAAATTTTAATAAGTTAAAAACACAAATAGAAAATTAACATTTGTGGTTTCAGCTCTTAGAAATTCATGCATGGTGACAGATCTAAGAACTTCTTAACCATTTTGTCTTCCTATTTAGTGAACGTGAATGGGCAGCTGTGGTAGGTTTGGAGATTCATGCCCAGATTGCCTCCAACTCCAAACTCTTCTCTGGATCTCAAGTCGACTTTGCAGCACCGCCCAATTCTTTGGTATCTTTTTTTGATGCATCCCTGCCTGGAACTTTGCCGGTAAGGTTTTTATTGTATGCTGTTTTCATTACACAATGTTCATGTTTTTTCTAACATAACTCTTAGGAAATACTTGTTTAGGGAGCTTTGCATGAAGTGGGTTGGACTAAATGTTTTCCAAAGACTCATCTCTGTAGTTCTGTTTCTAAGTCTAAACACCATCCATTTGTTCGTGTGTTCATCTCACACACAATTTAGATTGTTTACTCAGTATCAGGGTGTCCGGTCTGTGCTATGAACTGAAACAGAAAGATGAGCGACAAACCGTGCCTTTGAGGAGTTCAGAGACTAGCTGGGGAGATGTGTCTTATGCACAGAGTACTGTGTCACTGCTCCTGTGGAGGTCATATGCGGAGTATGGTTTTGGAGCCCCATGCAGGGACTTACCAAACTCAGTAAGAGAAGGACTGTTGTGAGAAATTGGGGAAGAGATAGGGTTGGCTAAGGAGGGGTTGTTGGAAGAGCAACAACCTTCTGAGCTAGCTGAGAAGGCAGGCGGGAGTCAGGCAGATGCATGGAGGAGGGAGAGGCGGGGGAGTCTCGTCAAAGGAAGCAGCATATGTCACGTGATATTACAGTATAAGGTCAATAATGATTGTGGTTTTAGAAAATTAAGAACTGGTCAGTAATGGAGAAAAAAGTCAACCACAGTATGCTTTGAGTGAACTACTCATTTATCTATTCATTCTCACTGAAACTGGCAATGACTGGGTCCAGTGTACTAACTCATCAGCAAGATTTTTCGCATATATTTTCACATAGGTGGATGAAGTTTTGAAGGAAAGGTTGGAAGGAACAATGTGAATATTTGGGCTAATACATGGCTCATAGTCTGTCCGGGACACATAGTATCAACTGGGTGTGGGGTTTCCTGCCCTCCTTGCAGGGAATGTATAAGTGGTGGTGATGCGGGCAGGGAGAGGTTTCCTGGGTGAGTTCCACACTTTCTAACATTTAAATACAAGTGAAAACTGGTTGAACTGCACACTGGCAGGTGTGCAGAGGCAGAGGTTTTCTTTTCCCAGAGTCACTGCCATGGAAGGTCATGGGCAGTACCTCCAAAGTACCTGCTGCACCCAACGTTTTGGTTATACTAGGGCAGTGTCTCTGTCTTGGAACTTTTTCCTTACTTGTGCTTTTTGTCATGGAGGACTCCTATTCCTGTAAACCATGCCTAGGGTCACCTTTGACTTGCTGTTGGGTCTTTCTGGGAGAAGACAAGTATAGGAGTGTCTGTCCCTTCCCTCCTCCCTCCCTCTGCCCTAGAGTATCTATTGATGGAGAGATTGTTTTTATTTGAGAAGAGACAATTTTCCAGTTATAAATGTACGAATTCTTTTTGGGGCAGAGACTCAGCTATAGTAGAAATAAAGTAATATCTATTTAGACAAGTGAATGGAAAGCAATTCATCACAACACCTCTTCTTTCTTCCTTCTGAGCTCAAAACATTTTTTTTCCACATGGTGGTTGGTTCATTATCAAGAGACTAGACCCAACTGCTGAGTTCTTTCTAGGTTTCTTCAGCTCGGAATATAGTATCTAGCAAGGTATTTATTATAGTTCACATTGAAAACATCTATTTGCAGATAGACATGTTTTCTATAGATAGGCTCTTTACTTGTGGCTAACTGTGGTCAAATATTAGAGACAATTCAAAATAACTAAATGTCAACATGCTTTGAAGACATCTTGTTATGCCCCCAAAGAAGATACTTGCCCAGTGATAGGCATATCAACATGACGGTGAAGTCATTTGGGACATTGGAGCATTGAGAGCTTGGCTTACATTCACTAAATGACAATCAAAAGCTAGAAATCCAGTTTTGCTCGAGCTGGGTTTTGTTTTTCCTCTTCAGAGCCTACCACACTCATTGTTTGAGCAGCCTAATGGGTTATTCTCGCAACAGAGCTAATCTGCCTCTTTTTCAGAAATATTTCTGTCTTTAAAAGACCTATGTAAGTGTGTGACCTAAATTATACCAAAACTACCAGAATAAAACGTTGTCATTCCCACAGCCCTTCAAAACCCAGTGATGTACCTAGATAGAGATTTTAAATATACTGAAACATTTAGACAGTTGGCCTTCTCTAAGCCTGTGGAGATGGTGTATTGATGCTCTGATATTCTGACTACGCATTTGGTTATTTTTATGCAAAAAATGGTGACCATTTGTTAGATACACTGTTAAGAAGATAGAAATAGACAACCAAAAGAACTTAGATTATAGTGTCAAGTCTTTTTCTGTAGACCAGATTCATTTGCTCTGCTGGCCCATTAAAGAGAAAATATGATAAAGTGTGTCTTTCTGTAAGTATTTGATTCTCCCCATCTCTTGATTGTGTCTTTATTCATTCGCTCAACTGACATTTACTGGATGCTTCCCATGCACTAGCCATCGTAGAAGTTCTAATGACACAGGTTTGAAGAAGGTAAAATCGCTGTAAGTCTTGTCTTCACGGAGCTTGGACAATTAAGTGGGCAATTGCAGTACTTTTCAATGAACATGCTGGTAGTGGAAATACAGTGTGCTCTAGGAGGGGCATTCAACACAGATACAGGGAATTTGCAAAATTTGGCCAAATAAAAGTGAATAGGATGCACAAAGACCAGAAGAAAAACAGGGCATGACTTGCTCTAGGAACTGAAAGAAGTTCCGCGTGTTGTAGCACAGAACTGGAATATGGTGTGGCAAGAGGTGAGACCAGCGTGGAAAGCATAGTCTGTACCATACAAGCCCTGCTAAGGAGTGTGCATCCCATTGCAAAGAGGTAAGAAGATGTAAGGAGAGTACCAGGTCAGAGACTCCAAGGGACAGCATATTTTGAGGGGTGAGTACACAGTATCTAACTTACTGAGATTCAAGTAAGGTGAGGACCAGGCAGTGGTCATTGGATCTGTTAAGGGGGTTATTGACAGGAAGCGTTTCCGCAATGGGGTTAGAAGGGAGGTGGCAGAAGGTCGAAGAACTCGGGGATGTTGAGGAAGAGATGAGAGAGTGTGGGCAACTATTTCAAGAAGTTTGGCTTGGAAGGAAAAGAGAATGCAGTAGAGAATTCCCTGACAGTCCAGTGGTTAGGACTCCGCGCCCTCACTGCCAAAGGCCTGGGTTCAATCCCTGTTGAGGGAACTAAGATCCCGCATGCTGCAGGGTGTGGCCAAAAAATAAGTAAATAAAGAGAGTCGGTTTAAAAAAAAAAAAGCCTAATTTTCCTTAATGTTGGAGAAACTTGAGATTGTTTCAATGCTGATGAGTTATAGTCAACAGTAAGGTATCGTCCACTTAAAAATATGTTAAGGGCTTCCCTGGTGGCACTGTGGTTGAGAGTCCACCTGCCGATGCAGGGGACACGGGTTCGTGCCCCGGTCTGGGAAGATCCCACGTGCCGCGGAGCGGCTGGGCCCGTGGGCCATGGCCGCTGAGCCTGTGCGTCCGGAGCCTGTGCTCCGCAACGGGAGAGGCCACAACAGTGAGAGGCCTGTGTACTGCAAAAAAATAATAATAATAAAATAAAAATAAGATTTAAAATAATTTTAATGCTGATGAGAAGGAGCCAATGAGGGGGCAGTTAAAGAGGCTTTTGATTAACGTGGCAAATTGAGTGTATACATGTTAATCTGTCCTTCTCCTCCTACCCCAAAGAAACCCCACTGAAATGACAGTGAAAGAATTCAAAATTATAAACCTATGAGAGAATGGGAGCGTAGACCAACATGCATGAGACGGTAGATGGAGGAGGGCCTGACTTGGCAGAACGAAGTTAAGTGTAACCCAGGAAAGGGACAGAAAGCCTTCAGAAAGAGACACTAGTCAGAAATGAGATGGTGTGCCCTATGCAACCCCAGAAAGGGTCCGGATGTGAGATCAACAGGTATTGTGGAGGGCCAGAGGGAGGTGAAGACAAAGGGATTAATTTGGAGTCTGGATACAGAGCAGTTAGACCTGAGGTCCTCTCCTGCCCCTTGGTAGCTGCCCTACCTTCATAGGAATCTGTAGTTTGGGGAGAAATTCAGCTTGTGACACACTCCCCCTAGAGACCCCAGGCAGAGCAAGAGGTACTGGTGTCAGACAGTGTCTGTACTCTGAACCCCAGGGCCTGCCCGATCCTTTCCCTCCCCCGTTTGAGGAGCTCAAGTGAACTGGTATGGCCATCTCTTCTCTTTCCCACCTTTCCCACCTATGGATTCCAAGCAGGAACCCATAGGAACCTGACAGAACTTGACATTTAGGGGGATCTCAATTAAAAAAGCTACCTGGCCACCTCATTGATTGTCCTAGAGTGAAGGCCACCAATCAGCAAGCCCTGGATATTTACATAGAATGCTTAATCAGCATTTTAGTACCTTACTTTAAAATATAAATAGACTGGGAGTTCCCTGGTGGCGCAGTGGTTGAGAATCCACCTGCCAATGCAGGGGACACGGGTTTGATCCCTGATAAGCAGCTAAGCCTGTGCACCACAACTACTGAGCCTGCGTTCTAGAACCCGTGAGCCACAGATACTGAAGCCCATGCACCTAGAGCCCATGCTCCGCAACAAGAGAAGCCACCACAATGAGAAGCCCACACACTGCAACGAAGAATAGCTCATGCTCACTGCAACTAGAGAAAGCCCACGTGCAGCAATGAAGGCCCAATGCAGCCAAAAATAAATAAATAAAAAGTAAATAAATTTCTTAAAAAAAAAGATCATTTCAAGAGGTAAATTTTAAAAATATATATATGTGTGTGTGTGTATGTGTGTGTGTGTTTATATATATATGTGTGTGTGTGTGTATGTATATAAATTGACAGCCAAATATCACTAGACATTTGAAGAAATTGTCCAATGTAGTGGACAGAGCCCAAAATAAAAAGAAAACAACAAAAAAAGAGGCAACAGATAATGCACAGGGTAAAAGAATTCTTTAAAAATTAAAAGCTTTTATAAATATCCTTAGAAAGGTAAGAGAAGGTAGCTGCATCCTTGAAACAAGAACTTGATACCACCATTTAAAAAT